GAGCCCATTTCCCTCAGTGGCTCTCAGTAAGGTTGTGTGCAGGCAGCACTGAATGAAAAAGAAACTGCCGTATATTTCCTGTAGCTAGTGTAAAGAAATACAACAGCTGTATCACTATTTATTAAAAAACAATAAACTCCTACAGAAATTACACCGAAATCACAATCATTTGACATTTCCAGTTCCCCAAAACATTTCTATGTGGTTTAAAATGTGAATAAAAACAGACTGATCTGTTGATGATGCAAATCTCATAGACCCATATTTTATTCAGAACAGAAACACAGAAAACATATCTATTGTTCACATGAGAAAATGTATCATTTTAAGAAGTAATCCCTTTGAGTTGGATGGAACAACAAGCATCAGAAACATTGGAACAAGGCCATGTTTTTCACTGTGTAGCAATAGTCTGTAAAGATCTGGGAAATGAGGAGACCAGCTGATGGACTTTTGACAGAGGACTGTTGTCCCACTCCTGTCTGACTTAGGATTCTAGCAGCTCAACAGTCCTGGATCTACTTATCTCATGTTTGCTTCATGATGCGCCAGATGTTTTTAGTTGGTGGTTTCAGTTTCGTGTGGCTTGTTGAAATATGCAAGGCCTTCCCTCAAAAGGATGTTGTGTGGATGTCAGTACATGTTGCTCTTAAACCTGTATATACCTTTCAGCATTGATGGTGCCTTTCCAGATATGCCAGCTGCTAATTCCATAGGCACGAATGCACCACTGTACCATCAGAGGTGCAGGCGTTTGGACTGAGCACTGTTAACAAACTGGATGGTGCCTCCTCGCTTTAGTTTCCATGTGTTCCAAAAAGAATTTCAGATTTCATTCATCTGACCACAGAACAGTTTTCTACTTTGCCTTAGTCCATTTGAAATTAGCAGAGATGTGGACTGACAGCCTAACCTCAAGAAATGAACAGATTGCCGAACCTCTACCCATGTTGACTTCTGAGAAAACCTGCCTCTCTAAGATGCTCTTTTTATACCCAATCATGTTAATGACTTGTTGACCATTAACCCGATCAGTTGTGAGATGTTCCTCCAGCTGTTTCTTTTTAGTACCACTTACCTTTCCAGCCTTGTGTTACTCCAGTTCCAACTATTTTTGTTGAGGTTTGTTATTGGCATCAAATTCAAAATGAGCTCATATTTTTATGAACGTGAAGTGTCATTTATACCTTTGAAATGTTTTCCATCTTCTATTGGAACTGGGGTTTAAATTGGCAAGTAAAAATATAAACTAAAAGTAACACTTGTAAACATAAGACAGAAGACCTAAACAGACCACAGACTGAGTGACTAACTAGTAGGCCCTTTATAGGCATGATGGGAAATGAGAGCCATTGGTACAGCCTACAGCCTCAAATGTATGTCGGCTTGTTTATTTAAAAAGCCGACACCAAAAAAAGTGCAAGGCTAGAATGAAACAGCTGGTCTTTTAGTAAAGGGACAGACATTAAGTCACCAACTTATTAGTGTTTTGTGACAGTTTATTTACATCAGCAATATCTGCAAACATACAAACATTTTCTTGTCCAATCAGAATACTCGATTTCTGGTATTACTTGACAATACCTACAAATTGCTGTAGTATTTTGGGCACATTTATGAGCACATTACGATTACTGATACTCCAATGCAATTCTAAAGTACATTTTAAAAGTACAGTTTTGAGCTGAGTTAAGCTGTCTACGTTATTCTACGTTGTTTGCCTTGCTACACTGCACTCTCTGTGTATTTAGCAAACATTACCAATCCTCCTCAAGCTGATCAGCTCCCCTCTCCTGCTGTGAATTGATGCCTTTGTGCTCCAGCTCCCTCCACTAAAACTAATCTAGTTGACTTTCATAACTAGTATAATCTGATTATAAGTCCCACACAGAACAATGTGGCAGAGGTCACAAACCACTTGCTGAGAAATGCCACAGGCCTGTGTTCTGACTGAGAGCATTCTCCATTAAGCAGTAGATTACACGCTCTGCTGCATCACTGGAAAAACACAAAAGTCTGCTTAGATTCTTTATGATGATCATAACTCCTCTCTTTGCCCTGACTCCTAATGTGTCTATAAAGACTTGTGCTTTATAAACAAAGGGAAAACTGGATAGTTTTGCTTTCCTTGTAGGCTAGCGTGTAGTACTATTAAGTGGTTTTTGTTCATTAAACAGAACAATGGAGAAGGGAATAAACTTTTTCCTATATACACCAAGACATTTTGTTTTCTAATTGTTGTCTATTCGGTGGTTAGTTTTACCATAAAATAGTAATTTCACTTCATGCTGAACTTAAGTACCTCATATTCTTTTTCAGTACTTCAGATTGACTAATGTTTATGTTTAAACCAACTCTGACATGTGGTGTGTTTCTCTTACAATCACCAGAGAGGAAGGTCCTCCCTGGTTTGTTTGGGTTAGGCAGCAGAGGAATGAGAGGAGGGAGGACAGAGATGGGGCGGAGTGGGAGGTGAGGGGATGATGACAGGGGAAAGGGGGTGTGAGTGAGCGGGGACAATGCTCTGAATTTTAAAAAGGGGAAAAGAAAAACATGGGTGAGAAAGGGAGTGGAGGCTTGGCGAAGAGAAAGGAGAAAGGGTTGGTAAAGGAAAGAGAAGAGAAAGGTGGTAGTAGGAGAGAATGGGACAAGTGGGAGGGGGTGAGATGGCAGAGGAAAGGATGTTTCTGGGAGGATGGGAGTAGAAGAGGAAAAACTGGAGAAAGGGAAGGGTTGAGTCTTTGCAAAGAGTGAATAAAAAATGAAGGAATGGAAGGAAAAAATTGGGAAAGTTAGTGGGGAGAAAATGGAAAACAGGAGGAGGAAGGCACGGACCTTGGGGTTACATTCCTGAAGTGCAACGAGCCTGGTGCTGCTCTGCTGCGCAATGTAAACACAGGGCAGAGACGTGGACTGACAGCCTGTCACAGTGACTCATGATGAGAGAAAGTGAGAGAAAATCTGCTTCTGGAGAAATGAGAACGATAATGGGAGCAATAAAATGTAAAAAATACTGCCTGCCACTAGTACTACCCCCCAGCCTCCTGGCAGTAGTATCTTTAGGTGGGACAAATTCAGTGAAAAAAGGAATAAAGCACCTGGTGCTGTAGCAGCAGAAGACCACACCAAATGCCACTCTTATCAACCGATAACAACAAACTGTGGCTCAGCAAAATTGGACAACAGAAGATTGGTCAAAAATGTTGGCTGGTATGATGAGTCTCAATTTCTGCTGCAACCGTTGGATGGCAGAGGCTGAAACTGTTATAAACAAAATGAAAGCATGGATCCATCCTGCCGTGTACAAACAAAGTGCTGTAATGTTGTGAAGGATCATTTCTTGGCACACTTTGGGCCTGTTAGTACCAACTGAGAATCACTGCTGACCTTCTGTATATATGTGCGACCACAGCATACCCATCTCCTGACGTCTGCTCCAGCAGGAGAAAATGCACTCACAAAGCTGAATCATCTCAAACTGGTTTCTTTAAGATGACAGTGAGATCACTCTACCCAAATGACTTCAATAGTCAATAGATCACAATCAAATAGAGCATCTTCCAGGCAGTGTGATGATAGATTCACATCATAGATAGCATCTGATAAAGCTACAGAAGCTGTGTGATGCTACCATGTCATAACAGACCAAAAATCTCAGAGGAATGTTTGGAGCACTTTGCTGAAACTTTGCCATCAAAAATTAAGGAATTCCTGAGGGCTCAAGGGGGTCCAATGTGGTACTAGCAAGGTGTAACTTATAAAATGGCCACTAAGTATATAGTACTGTGTAAAGGTTTTAGGCAGGTGAGAAAAAATGATGCAAACAAAGAATGCTTTTAAAACGGCAGTATTAATCATTTATTTTCATCAATCAACAAAATGAAGTGAATGAACCAAAGTGAAATCTAAATTAAATCAGTATTTGGTATGACCAGCATCCATTCTTCTAGGTACACTTGCACACAGTTTTTGAAGAAACTCGGCTGGTGGTTGTTTCAAGCATCTTGGAGAACTAACCACTGATCTTCTGTGGATGTAGGCTTCCTCACATCCTTCTGTCTCTTCATGTAATCACAGGCTATCTTAAGACAAGTGTGCTTGGGATCATGAGGTATTTCAGTAACATCCAAATGCACTTGTACACATAAACCTGAAAAAACAATCATATACGTGAGCAAGAGTCAGCTCAATTTTGTGGTGCTCGTACTACATCTAGTGGCAGTTTGACTACATTGCAGCTGAAGGTGAACTTTGAGGTTTAAAGCTGCATGTGGTGTAGTGAAGTGCGAGTGTAACTCTTCCCACAACTTCAGTTAAATTACATAACTTTTATTGGTTGAAAAGGGACACAGACAGAATTTGAAACTCTAAAAACAAAAAGAAAAGATAAATTAGGCACCGAACAAGAGTGTTTCAAGCAAATTTAGGAAATGAAAACACCCTTTAGAGAATTTTTGGTAATTCCAGGGAATGGGGAATAACAGACAGGCTCCTCTTACCAAAAACTGTAAATAGCACAAACATTTTACCGATAAATATCTTCAAGGAAGTAAAAGTTAGACTGAAATAAATATTATGCTTAATAGCATACAAAAGGTTACATGTGATAACCTGAGAACAGTCACCTGAGAAAACGTCAGAATTGTGGAGAAGACCGCAATATCCCCCATTAGGGAACGTTTAACGGCCATTTAAATAAAATACAGAAAAAACACATTTCCCTTGTATTGAACATTGCACCTTACAAGGAAATCTGAAAATACTGGAACTTACTGCACAATACACAAAATTTGCTTAAAATTACAAGTTAATCTGCACAAAATGTTCTGAATTCCAGCTTTTCTTCATCCACATTTTTTCCAGTACATGTCAGTTATTATTTCTGACCCCAATGTAGTACTATTCTATTAAAAAATAAACAAAAACAAAAAAAATCAACACTAAGATGACTGAACTTTTCTTTTTTGTTTATTAAAATAAAAAATATATAGTATTTACACTGTTGTTTAAAAATCTAGGGAAAAAAACATTAAAAATTGGCTACAGAAGAAATGTACAGGAGGGGATTTTAAAGTGCAGCAATGACAGTATTTTCTTTTTTTCAAATGACTCATAGTCCACAAGTGACCATTGTAGCGAGTGTGCCAGGTTCTTCCCACAGTGGTTGGTGTAACAACAAAGTACACATATACATAGTATACAAATACAAACATACATATGTATAATTCTTCTAACTTCTTGTTTTTCGTCTATCGTCACACGGCGTCAGGAGGTATTTCTGTCACAGTTTTCCAGTATTCAACAACAACCTAACCGCACACCGCTGATAAAGTCTGTTTTTTTGCTTTTACATAGTGAAGTCAGCCACTCTCACTTTACTGACGCACTTTGCTTCACCAGTAAAAGAACAAGATATGATACTTCCTCAAACGCTAAAAGTCACAAGTGTTGAGTGTGAAATGTTAATAGCATGTAGTTCCTGGTGATGGGTCACTCACTCTTGGCGAGGCCTGGTGAGGTTATTCCTATTTTGCGTGGAACCAGCTGATCACAGTGTGTAATTGACACAGAGGAGACGATATCTTTCCCTCTAGATCCTTGAACGTGGGTTTAATGTTGTCCTTCACTGGTTCATCAAGCAGCTTCTTTTTCTCCATTTTTTTCACAAAGTGATATTTCCACCCTGGATTAAATAAAACACAGAAGGAAATAATTAGGCAGAAGGAAAGAACAAGGAAAGCGAAAGCACTATCTGTTCTAATCTACAAGCAGAAATCAAAAGTACAATTTTGATTTCTATGAAAAGTTACACAGATTACTGTGTAATCAAAGTATTATGACTACACTATTATAGACAATTAAACACTTACTTACGCCTCATTTGTATTTACTCTCTCTAGCCTCATACTGCCTCCTGAAAAACAACACAGAGCCTGCCATGAGTTTCTGCACATTTTGAGTTATTCATTCTCTTATTTTCATGTCCCTGCAGTTTTACACATGTGTGCAATCTCTGTGCTCACCTGTCCGTCTTCTCCAGCACAAAACACCTGCAATCATGACCACCACCACCACCAGTATACAAATGGCTGTCATAATTACTATATCAGTGCTGCGTTGATCCTGATGAGCACCTATCAATGAGAACAACTGTATCAGAATCAAGATTATTACAAAGAACCCCACATGACAAGTATTGTGAAATACAGAAAAAAAGAGTTATTATATTTAATTACCCTGAAAAACTAAAACAAAAAAGTGAACTGAACTAAAAACAAGGCATGTCTGCCTTTTCTTTTCCATGCTGGGGAACTTAAAGGTCAACTTAAACTATTTCATGAAAATGAACTGCCGAATGTTTTAACTTAATCGTTTTCCTTAAATCTGAATTAAACTGAATTCATTTCACAGAACTAACATAAGTACAAACCCCACTGTATGATTAAACTGTATGATTCTTGATTCAGGAAAACGTTTATAGCACACTCTTAGCATATGCAGAAAAGACTCGTTAATCTTTCTTTTTACATTGGGCACAGCAGTAATACTACACTACTACTGCTGTCAGTGCTGATATTGTGATGTTATCACCCAGCAACCACAATGTATTCACAGTGTCACAGCTTCACTATTTTAACATGAAGGTAAATTAAAAACCACCAAACAACTGATCAGAAAAGAAAAGGGAACAATCATTATAATTTAATATGTCAAAACATGACATATAGTAAAACTGCAAAGCTCTAAAAAACCTGGAACTTCCCCCACGCACCCACTCTGTTGTTGTATTAATAAACATATAGTAGGCTCAAACAAATTTTACATTTCCATAATACCTCAGTTTAAGAACAAATACAGCACGTAATTTTTATCACGTCAGTCTCAGCAGTAATTTGAGTTTGATTCTGCAGGAAATGCTTTGCTATTCAGTCACTTTCATTCGTCTTGCTGAAAAATGTAATCTAGTAGCCTCACATAAGTTTTAAAAATCTCAAAAATCACAAAAACTCAACCTAAACTGTTCTGTGTCAGCCACACAAATGCTGACAGAATAAGAGGATGTTGCTATGAAATAAAACAATAAAGGGGATATATGCCAAGAGATTTCCACTGGCTTTCAAACTTCCCAAAACTTGTCCAGTAGCTAATTGTGGGAACTACTTTGATAAAGAAATAATTGTCTTTTCTAAGATGAACAGGCTACTCACAGACTGAGAACTCATCCGAAGTGACGTCACCCACGGAGCAGCTGAACTTTATCTCCCCGTTCGAGCAGTTATAACTCACAGCGGTGGTAATGTTATACAGCAATGTACTTGGATTTGGGGAAGAGACAGACTTCACATGTTGCCATATCTGCCTGATGGTCTCATTAGTGCTGGTAACTATAGCCTGAACTATCATGCTGGATTCTGGGTATCCATTATTTGATGTACACGTTGTCTGGCAATTCTGGGTTTCCTCGCTGCAGACTGGAGGACTGAATAAAGGCCTGCTGTACTTTGCTAGAAGAAAGACACAAGGAAAGTGATATCAGCCTGGTGTTTCCAACATGTACAAAGGAACTGGCGCATATATGAATATAAACAAAGAAAACAGCTGTTTTCTTTGTTTATATTTATATTACATGCACATACTTTACACTATTGTAACGCTTCATCTTAAAGGTCTATTCACACTGACAGTCATATAAAAATGAACTTCATGAGATGAATTGAAGACATAAATACCTGTGACACTGAGGGTTATTGAGTCTTCATTAATAAGCTGCTCGTCTTTGTACCGAATGTGACATTTGTATTCCCCACTGTGTGAGACCTTTAGGTTATCCATGAACACAGATGAAGTGTTGCGATCAAACTTTGTGTTGTTCCACGTTGCTGGTACTTTTTTAGATTCATAATAACCATTAACAAAGACGTTGTCTCTTTGGAGGTAAAGTAAGTCAATGTTCTTTACTGATTTACCAGAGCAGTGAAAAGTCACATTTCCACCGACCTCCCCTTTGAGAATAGCAGCACCTCCTGTTAAAAAAAAACAAAAAACACAAAAACAAAAAAGGAACAGGGATGAAGTATTAGGGCATATATCTTTTATTAAAGAAAATATCTAAAGGGTGAAATGAATGCAAACAGTTTCTATTTTAGGGCAGACATGTGTTTCCATGCGGTTTTGTTTAAGCTCCTGCAGAGTTCCGCTGCATGACGCGGTAGGCTAATTTCACTTCTTCATAAGCCCCTTTGTCTTTCCTTTTTGTGCAGAATACACGGAGAGAACTTTTTTGTTTTTCCTGTTTTGAAGTGTGAGTGTTTTTGACTGATTATCTACCAACTCGTAAGAAAACATCTCTGGCTTTAGCTTCCAGATATTCAGATTTTTCTACTAATTGCATTTTCCAGCAGTTCTGGGCTGGACTGGTAGCTGGAAACTGAACAGGGGGCATTAAAGGGACTAAGACAGGAAAGCTATAATATTCTGAAGGAAGACATAGAAAATAGTTTGGAAAATGGGGTTACTTGCTTTCTTGGTGAGAGTCAGATGAGAAGAAATAGTCAACACTCGTGTTTATACACTAAATTTGAAGCTAAACCCAAAAACCCATTAGCTTAGCTTGTGTTAGCATAGGGTGCTGCTGTAATGGCTGGTCCAGTCATGTGGATGGCAGCTTCCTATTCATTACAAAGATGTGCGAATAGCATTGATCTACATATTCACCTTTTACAAAGAAAGGAAATCTCCTAAAAAGTTTAACTTCTTCATAAGACCACTCCATCAAACTAAGAAAAAATTAAAGTTATGTAAATCTGAGTTGGGGGAGCACACGTTTTGCTTTCTTTCCTTAGCTAGTGATGTGCAACCAAGCATAATACTGTCATATCACACATTCTTATTCATGTAATAAACAACTGGTTTCTATGTTTAACCACAATGAACGAGTGCTGCTGGCAGAACTGCTCACCTGTGACAGTGAAGGGCCAAGTCAGCGTCAGAACAAGAGATAGCAGCAGATCAAGGGAAAACCTTTGAGTTCTAGGAACACAGAAAATGGTGAATCATTAAAGTGGCACGCGGAGATAAAGAATCACACACACTTTTTTTTTTGCATCAGTGCCTAAAGATGGCTGAGATAGCTGACAGTAACAACAACCAGGAAATAACTGAGACAGTTCAGTAAACAACATCTGTGGCCAAGCAATGATCGTAAAACACAGATAATGAACTTGGGCCAGATTTGCTCTCTTCTGTCACCAACTTCTTAAAGCTAAAATGATCACTTCTCTTTTCAGTTCAAGTAACAACACAAGCGCACACATGAGATCAGTGGGAAGGCTACAAACTCATGTCTGGATCCATAAGCTTTCACATTAACCTTATGCTGATGCCCATAACTAGCTAATATAAATAATTAATAATATAATATTTAAGTAACAGGAGATATATAGGAGGAAACTGCTTTTAAAATTAGAACACCAGAAAATTACATTCCAAAATTGACTTCCTAGTAATCCTTTTGGGATTAACTAACTGTAAGTCTTACAAGTCCAGTCACAACAGTGGCACATGGATATGTATCAGAGCAACAGTTAATAACAGGAACATGTGACTGGGTGTTAAAATATCAAAAGTGCCCTAACCACACGCTGCCTTGTGCTGAAATCATGATAGGAATGATTAGGAAATCGGAGCATTACTTACAGGAAATGATACCGGCTCCAGGTGGACGCCTGTTAGAAAGACAAACTGGTTAATCACTGAAATGAAATGTAGTGTGAGATGCCATCAAGTGGCACATGTACACCTGAACACTCAAAAATAACTTGCATGCAGTGATTTCTCACCATTTACATTTGTCAGGAGAATGATAGTTTTGTCTTAAAATATCATTAATGCTACACAAGGGCGATATCAAACACCCAGTCCCGAAACCCACCCAATCCTACCCTTTCAGTGAACTAGAATCTTATTTGAAACATTTGACTGGCTCTTTACAGTCATGTTTTGGGGGAAAACAGGCTGTCTCATCCTGAAAGAACACACCCAAATGGTTTTCAGTATACAAGAAGCAAAAGGAAAGTCCCAGTCAGTATAAGAGAGGGCTTGTTCTAAAAGGGTGTATTCCTGTACCTGCTAGGAGAAAACAACATTCTAGTTTTCTTTTACTACGCATTTGGTATCATAGGAACCAAATGCTAACCACATAAGCACATAGCTTATTACATATCCTCCCCTGTCTTATATAAATTTGGAAAAATAAAAAATGAAATATAATAAACAAATAGATCAGTTTGTTTCGTCCAACAAGAAGCACAGACTTTATTTGTTTTTGATGAACTAGTTTCACTTGAAATTGTTTCTAAAACTATTCATGAGGAAGTGATCTTTTTTTTTTATTTTTTATGTGACTTTGCTGGCATTGATCAGAAATCTCAGGAAATTCCCACTTGGAAAATCAAATCGGGATTGTTTCAGTTGTAGGATATGGTGTAGTAGGATAAAGCACAAAAAAAAATCACATATGCTTCTCTCCACATTGTCAGTAAATATCTAAAGTGAAGGTGTTTTAAAGAGGCTGACCAGTGGAAACACCCCTACCCTTCACGAGTGGCCATTTAGCAGCAGTGACTGTCATAAGTTGAAACAAAAACAGAGGGAAATCCCAAAGGTCAAGTAACTGCATGGTGTATTTGGTTTCAGGAATACTGATACAAAATGAACTGTGGAAGTGATACTAATGCAGATGGATTTCTTTTTTTTAATCAAGGACTCAAATTAAGTGACAATTTTATCCAACTCTGATGTGGCCATTGGGGGAGGGTGGTTACATTTCCCTAATGAGACATGTGAGAGTAAGCTGTGAATAGCATTTTGTTTGATATAATGTTACATAAAATAATTTACAGATCTTTGATGTTAAAACAACAGGGCACACCTCCAAACTCTAATGCAAATTACAGTACTTACAAGTATATTTAAAAATAGAATTTCTGATTCTGTTTTGCAAATCAATCTGTGAATGTATTTTGTTTTCCTTTTTTCATTATTGTATTTGCAACTTCTGCTTTATCACTACACTGCTGTGCAAACTGAACAGCATTAATCAGCAAGGCTTTGCAGTACATGGGAATTCCCCTGACGTAATGATTGGAGAGAACACTCATTCTGCTGAGCTATTCTCATACACACATACTCTCCTCTAAACCCCTTTTGTCTTACAAATTAAAAACCTCACACCTGGTTCACACAATCAGCTGAATTCATCCAAATGGAGTTTCACGACTCATCTTCTTTTTAGATTTTTTAATCTAAATGATACTAAACAACAAGCCAGACTGTAAAGGATTCTGTGGAGTGCCTCTGTTTGTCTTCTAATGCTGACACTTTCTGCATTTGACCTTTGTTTTTCCCAGAGACAGCCAAAACACAAAAGTTACTTTCGCTTTCCTTTCTCATTCTCTTAATTATTTGGGTTCATGCATGGTGGACACACTGTTTCATACTAAAGTCGTTTTCCCAGAAAGGCTGTACAGTCACACAGACATTCAGTCATGCTGAAAAAATATCTACATATAACAATTTCGATATATGTATATGAATGTCTATCTGTGTTAAACGCTCAGGATTTTTTTCTCTGCTTTCTCTTTGAGAGCACATCTATACTAGTCGTTACCATTACCGTCACAATTTATACTCCAGAGCTTAAACACATTTCCTGAGAAGCATTCATCCCTCTATACAGCCATCCATTTTCTTCCGGTTATCCGCATTCATTTAACTATAAAACCCTTCTCGGTTCTTTGCTAGCTTTGCAATAAGCATGCTGTCTGTGCAGCTGGTTACAAAGAGTTGTATTAGCAGTATATTTTTTCTGTCCTTGCTGCAGTTTCCACTTTACCACGCCATTTTTGTTCTTTTCCATCCATCCAGCTATCCACCTATCTTTCGCTTTTCCGGGGGACAGGTCGCGGGGGCAGCAGCCCTAAGAGGACGCCGAGACCTCCCTCTTTCCCCAGCCACCTCCTCCAGTTTATCCGGGGGAACACCGGGGCGTTCCCAGGCCAGCCGACAGTTTCTGTCCTGGGTCTAACCTTGAGCCCCTCTCGGACGGCTGAACTCCTCACCGTATCTCTAAGGGAGAAGCCACCCTCCTTTCGAAGAAAGCCTATTTCTGTCATTGTATCCGTGATCTCAGTATTAGTTTCAGTTGAACACTTAAAGTTTTAACTTGTATAAGGATTCAGCTCAAGCTACAACCGAACTGTTAATTTGTTCACTGCTCCTGAGGCAAGCTAGAATAAAGCAATGTAAACACCGAGACCCTGACACACATGCCTGCACACTCCGCTTCTCTGTCACTTTCACATAGCCTCGATTGTTTACACAGCAGCTTACATTATTGAGTGACTCACATTATTATTATCATCTAGCATAAGCATGAACGATGATGGTAGCCCGAATCAATTCAAACACTGTTTAAGTATGTGACATTATCAAACTTCAAATGACGCAAACACTCACCATCATGCTGCCGCGCTCTCTGTGTTAAAATGAATGCTAAATCAATCTAAATTCTTCAACTAGTCTGGTATGCTGAGGGGGCGGGGGGAGGAGGAGCCACATCTCAGTTCCTTTTTCATATGCTAGTAACAACTGATAGCAGTTGTTACTAGCATAAAGGCTAAAGGCATGATCACTGACTGTTTTGAAAATGTAGTTAACGATAACTAGAAAATCTAAATCAAATCGTTGCCTCTTTCACTTGGCAAAATCAACAAGCCTTATAAAGAATTACACAGCTGTGAAGATTTTGATTGTGTGTGTGTGGGTGTGTGTGTGTCTGTGCGTGCCTGCTTTTTTATGTGGTAATACAATCAGCCTAAAACACTTCCGTATGCAACAATTTCTGGCTCATCTGAACATGTGACAGAAATTCTTCTGAAGAAATCCCAAATAGTTCTCCTGGTAACAGACTGTATAAATGAGAAATAAAGAAACTAAAGAGCAAAGTTAACCTTAGTTTATTAGCCCTTTTAAGGTATTGCTCTGGCATCGACTTTATCTGCTCCACTACATGCCAGGAACATCAGTGCGCTTCAGTCAAATTTCACCAAATGTAGGAAAAGGATATTTTCTTTCAGGTTGCACAGTAACACAGACATAAGCAAGCACCCCAGTTTTGTTGTTGTAACACAATAAAAATTCACATTTTTAAAAAAGGCTTTAGATGAAACACCATGCGATATTCATTATTCATTATGATTTTCATTTTGAATCTTAGCTAACATGTGTAACTTTGTTTGACAGACTACAGTGAATGTTTCATTGTGCCACCTATGTGACTATGTACTTGGAGACCTATGTACTTCGCTAAAACTGGTTAACGCACACAAACACAAAGACTGTGGCTTTCTGTGTGGCCAAGTTATGGACTTTCTCTGTGGCTTTTGACGTTTTATTACAGGCAGTGACCTGTGAGTGTACAGTACACGCCCACCTCTGATTTTTCATATCATCTCTTTGACTAACCACAAAGTGTTTCACATTGACATTATGGTTTTTTGAATTCTTGCCAACTTTTCTAGAACTTCTTTTGTTTTTCTTGTTAAATAATTACAATGTGTCTGATGACACAATTATTAGTTGATTATTTCCCCATATATGACATTTCCAGGTGGACAATTTTCTCATTTCTAGTGTATTAGAAAGGTTGTTTAATTTAACATGTAAATGATAAAGATTTACACACAAAGCATTTCCCTTCAAGTGACCTTTAGCTCAATAAAAATTTTGTTCATACGAAATTATTTGGGATGTTTCTTGTAAAAGTTCTGTTTTCCTTTGCATTGACCTTTTCAAAACACGTTGGTTAGAGTGGCCTCGGTTAAGAGGGGGAGTGTCTAGCTGCGAGGAATAGGGGGAATACCCAAGATGGGCCGGCAATTTCTCACGAGGCCATGAGGTCACTGACACACCCATTTAGAGAAAAGAATTCTCCACAGCACCTGGCAAATATACTCGGATTTAATAACGAAACAATGTGGAAAAGATTTATCAGATAATGTGGGAATTTTTTAATGTATCCAGGGAAAATTTAAGAAACTGCAGTATTGTTTGTAAATGACTCATCCTTATGCTTTTCATTTAACATTTAGATGACAAACCTTTAATGAAAAGGAATATTATTTAATGCACATAAAATACAAAATACATTTTTCTTACAACTTTCATATCAAGATCTTCTACATACTACCTTGAAACTTTGTCTTACTTGCTTGGTGAAAAAGAAAAGTGCTGGCAATGAGCACTATGTGGGAGGAAAGGCTCTAAGATTTGAAACAAGACATTAAACAAATCAGCTCGTACCATGTGTGAAACTCCCCTCACACCAAACAAAGGCTGAATATCTCTGTTAAAATAATTTTTACAGGCGTCCCTGCATAAAGCTGCATGTTTATGGCAACAGTATAAGCCATTTAAATGTGCTTATACTGCCTAAAAAAATGATAGAATAGAATTAGAATAGAATTCAACTTTATTGTCATTGCACATGCACAGGTACAGGGCAACGAAATGCAGTTTGCATCCATCCAGAAGTGCTTTAGTGATATAGATATATTACAATATATATTAGCAATAATATAGATATGTAAATATATTACAGAAATGGGTCTATTATGTTATAATGTACACGGTATGAAGTATGTTGTGAATATTCTATAACTATAAGTATGTACAGGCTATGAACAGGATATAAATATGAAAAACTATACAGAAATCTGAGACATACAGCTATACAGAAATGGGAACTATGCAAGTTGTAGGATTAAAGATTATCGAATGTACAGAATGATTATTTACACAGAGCTATACAGGAGTGCAGTTAAGATAAGTGAGGGTGTAGATAGTTTCTACAGAGGCTATATAAAGTGCTGGTGGTTGTGAGTGGTGGTTCAGTCCATGTTATTATTGTGTGTTTGAGGGTACAGTTGTCCATTGGGGTGTGTGTATGTTCAGTCCATGAGTTTAACGTGGGTCAGATGTCAGGAGGCAGAGTTCAGGAGTCTGACAGCTGTGGGGAAGAAGCTGTTCCAGTACCTGGTGGTCTTAGTCCGGAGGCTCCTGTGGCGCCTCCCAGAGGGCAGGAGGGTGAAGAGTCCATGTGATGGGTGACTGGGGTCTTTGATGACCACGTGATGACCACGATTTACATATTTCTACCAGTCCAAGTCAGATCATCTAATTCCATCTCACCCCATCTCTAGCATCCTCGTCTGTCACACCAACCTCCTTCACTAAATCCATTAATCTTTTATGTGGCATTCTTTTTTTCTTCTCCTGCCTGGCAGCTCAATATTCAGCATCCTTTATCCAATATATCGACTTTCCCTCCTCTGCACCTGTCCAAACCATCTCAGCCTTGCCTCTCTAACCAGACCGCTCAGCCCGAGCTGTCCCACTGATATACTCATTTCTAATCCTGTACATTCAGTTCATTCACAATGAAAATGAAAAACAATTTCAATTCTGCCACCTTCAGCTCTGCCTCTTGTCTTTTTGTAAGTGCCACCTCTCCAAACCAAACGTCACAGCAGGTCTCACTGCCCTCTTGTAAACCTTCCCTTTCACTCTTGCTGCTATCCTTCTGTCACAAATCACCCCTGACACTCATCTCCAGCCACACCCTGTCTGCACTCACTTTTTCACCCGTCTTGTGCACTGGATGACTGACCCCAGGTATTTAAACTCATCTACTTTTGCTATTTTGATCCACCTTTCCACCTGTCTCTCTCTCATTCGCATACATGTAATCAGCCTTGCTTCTACTGACTTTCATTTGTCTTCTCTCCAGCACATGTCTCCCCCTCTCCAGGTTCTCTTCCACCTGCTCCCTATTCTCACTACGTATAACAATGTCATCTGCAAACATCATAGTTCACAAAGACCCCTGCTTGATCTCATCTGACCTCATACACTACTAATCAAATGTTTGGACACACCTTCTCATTTAATGTTTTTTTCTTTATTTTTACTACTTTCTACATTGTAGATGCATACTGATGATATCAGATAATGAAGATAATATATGAAGCAAGATATATGGAATTATGCAGCAAAGAAAAAAAAGATAACTCTAAAAATGTCTTATATTTTAGATTCTTGACAGTAACCACCCTTTGCTTTGTTGACGATACTGCAAACCCTTGCCCTTCTCTCAATGAGCTTCATGATGTAGTCATCTAAAATGGTTTTCACTTCACAGGTAGGCCTTGTCAGGGTTCATTTGTGGAATTTCTTGCCTTCTTAATGGGCTTGGGACCATCATTTGTGTTGTGCAGAAGTGATCTAATGAGTCCAAATTTGAGATCTTTGGTTCCATCCACCGTGTCTTTGTGCAACGCAGAAAAGATGAACAGATGATCTCTATATGCATGGTTCCCACCATGAAGCATGGAGGAACAGGTGTGGGGGTTCTTTGCTGGTAGCACTGTTGGAGATTTATTCAAAATTGAGGAACACTGAACCAACATGGCTACCACAGCATCCTGCAGTAACATGCCATCCCATCCGCTTTGTGTTTAGTTGGACCATCATTTATTTTTCAACAGGACAATGACCCCAAACACACCAGGCTGTGTAAGGGCTATTTGACCAAGAAGGAGAGTGATGGAGTGCTGCGCCAGATAGTCTGACCTCCACATTCACCTGACCTAAACCTGATCGAGATGGTTTGGGATGAGATGGACCACAGAGTGAAGGCAAAAGGGTCAACAAGTGCTCAGCATCTCTGGGAACTCCCTCAAAACTGTTGGAAAACCATTTCAGGTGACTACCTCATGAAGCTCATCGAAAGAATGCCAGTACTCAAAGCTGTAATCAAAGCAAAGGGTGGCGGTTTTGAAGAATCTAAAATATAAAACATGTTTTGAGTTATTTCACACTTTTTTTGTTTACTACAAAATTCAGTATTCATTCATTCATAGTTTTGATGCCTTTAGTGAGAATCTATAATGTAAATAGCCATGAAAATAAAGAAAAAACATTAAATTAGAAGGTGTGTCCAAACTTTTGACTGGTAGTGTATGTCAACCTGTCCATCATTACTACAAACAAGAAAGGGCTCAGAGCTGCCCTTGATGTAGTCCCATCCCCACTTTAAACCAATGTGTCACTTATATTGTGGCACTCACCACTATCTCTCTGTCCTCATATATGTCCTGTACCACACTCACATATTTCTTTGTCATTCTTGACATCCTCATATAGTATCACAGTTCCTCTCTTGCCAGACTTTAGGGTCTTTGCACGTGCTGTATTAGTAACTGAGTGATTGAAGACTGAACACAAAATTGACTTGAACTCGTATAACGGAAAAGATTGCTTTAGACAGTGATTTGAGAAATGTGTGACCACAGATTTGATTGTCAGTGTTTCAGTGTTACTAGTTTCTCAGCTTTAAAGATAAGTTTGCAATTTTGTAACATACTTACTTTCATATATAACAATATCTTCATTCATGATGTAAATGCGCAACGCGATATGAGCACAGTGTGTGCCAAATGAATCAACGCAGAGTCAGTGAAAGAAACGAAACTACTTACAGAAGGGAATCCCTATTTGTGAAGTGGTTTTTGCCATGTTTACAAGTATGAGTTCCTTATCCAAGACCGAAAATGGTCAGTCTAGGATGAGTAATTTATGTCTGGCAGGGAATCTTTGTCTTAAAGAAGAAGCTAACCACATTAGATAAAACAATGCTGATTCAGTTAACACAGCTTACTTACGTTGTTCTTAAATTAAATTGTGTGAAAATGAAAGCACACAGCAAACGTGGAGGGGGGGGGGGCAGCATACACCTAACGTCTACAATGTCCCACTTTCTTTACTAAATAAGATAAACAAACGCATCATTATTGTTTTGAATCCTTTGCAACATTATTCTTACACAGAAGCATGCTTATTTAAGGTTTCTTACCTCAGCAACCCACACTGGCTCACAGTAGGCTACCTGACCATTTCCTAATGCTAATATAAAACCTACACTTTTTCTGCCCTCGCGGTTTCGCTCAGTTCGCTTCACGGATTGATAAGATCTTTTAGTTTGAAAATCTAAATCTGCTTGCGTAGCTTCCGGAATGTCGCCGTTGAAACAGTAGCCGAATCGCAAGTATATACTACTCTACTATTAAAGTAACAAGGCAATAAATACTATTGCATTCTAACATTTCTATGTGGTAAAACAAAGCAAAACAAACATTTAATTTAATGTGGCCGCATACGTAAATGCCGCATAAAAACTACGTAGGAATAGCTGTGTCACGTGAAACAAAATCTCGTCGTTGTTACCTGGCAACGACACTAGCATTGACGAACTCCCTTACAAACTGAGAGGGGCAATTTTGCTAAAACTTCAAACCATGGATTAAGCATTCAGAAGCTTTCGGAGTTTGGTTTCTTTTCGAGACATAACGGTATGAAACCAGATATTCTGTAGCTTGACTGTGCGCCGAAAGTGAGCCAGCGAACTGATGCACTGCACTTTAATCTACACAGGCAAGGCTAGTGTTAGCTATTAGCTGATGGTTTACTCTGCCCGTAGCCATTCCTTTGCCACAACCTGGTACTGCTGCTTTCCAGGCATAAGTCTGATTTTAAACAAAAGGAAAAAAGCTAGTGGTTTGATGTGCTAACGATGTTTCAGCGCAAAAACAGCTACTAATTTAGCAGGGATGTCAGCACTGGGTCAGTTCAGCGACTCTAAATACTACCCAATAACCTCTAGCTGGACACTGAACCAGTGAATGTAAAATGTTTCGTGGGTTTACCAACGGTAGGCTGTTCAAATAGAAATTTAGTTTGATAGTATTTGATATTAAGGCATATTTCTTGC